GTTGGTGTTTTAAATTTTTTTTAATTAAAAAATTTAAAAAATAATAGATGTTTTTGATTTCAATGTTTCCCATTTTCTTATAAATTGTTTGTTTGATTTTTATAAATAATTTTTTTTAGAATTTGAAATGTGGAAATCAGATATCAAAACAATATAACTATAAACAAAATATGTCTTGCCTTCTGATAAGAAGATTGATAAAGATAGTAGGAAAGTACTATCAATGCAACAGAAGTGGATTTTACTTTTGTTTAAAAAAAAGGTAATTTTTTTTTAATTTGGATTTTTTTTAAAAACATTATTTTGAATATTTGAAAGTTTTTTTTACCTTTTTTTTTCTATATTTATTGTTTTCTGAGTACTACTTTATTTTTCAATACTAAGGTTGTTTTTTATTCTACTTATTATACAGCTAATTAACAGGATTTTATTATATTCTTTAAAGGTTACTATTTAAGACTGAAAAGAATTTAAACATAAAAGTTTTTCTGTTTTAAGCATTTAAAACTGTTTTTCTCAGTTTAAGTTAACATTTTTGAGGCAACATTGTGTAGAATGCCTAAGTTTAAGTACTTGTCTTTTTTGATTGAAGTTTTGAACACATATCCACATGAGTATTTAGCGTGGGATGTAGGAAGCAAATTGTATTTTCAATTTTACTATTTTTCGATTAACACAATTTAAATATTTCTCAATCACCTCTGAAAACTTTATTTTCTAAAATATATTGGTAAAATAAGTTTTATAATATAAATATATATTTCTAAAGTATATTTGTATTCTAAAATATATTGGAAAAGATTTGGTAGACAATAGGAAATGTTTTTGCTATTTTCTAGATTATACTGTATTTAATAATCCTCAAGAAACATGACGTATTTATATATACATGTGATGATTGTAATTGTAAATTTATTATATAAAGAAGTACTTATAAAATATATATATATATATATATATATATATATATATATATATATATACATATATACATATATTATATATATATATATATATATATTATATATATATATATATATATATATATATATATATATATATATATATATATATATATATATATATATATTATATATATATATATATATATATATATTATATATATATATATATAGTATATATAGGTATATATATATATATATATATATATATATATATATATATATATATATATATTGTCAGGTTATCCAGCTATTGGTAACATGTAACTTAGTTCAATCTTTTTATGTCCTGCTGATTATTATGATACACTTTTTTTTTTTTAACATCTTTGCTTCCAACAAGGCTGCAAGCAACCACTAATTAGTGTTGGATTTTACTGGAACAGAAAAGATGAAGATTGTAGAGCAAGATAGCGATTGACAGACGACTTAAAAGATTGCAAAATATATGAATCAGGAAAGCAAGCAAATTCCATAAAACTGATGTTTGAGGAAAAAAACTAGACGAATAAGAGTTTTTGGAGCACTTAGGAACAGTTACAGAAAAAGGATGAGACTTAGTTGAATGACAAGTAACACAAAAATGAATTTTTGTAGATAGCACAAGAGACGCTAGCTCTTTAGAGCAGTGCCCATTATAGTATTTGTAGAAAAGAGAAAGAGAAGCAACATTACGACGATGTGACAGAGGTTGAAGGTTGGCTGCAAGAGCAGGTCCAACTATGTTTACAATACGTTTTTGCACCTTGTCTAAAAGAGAAAGGGCATCATTAGAAGATCCACCCCAGATATGGCAACAGTATTTCATACAAGGCCGGATTTGAAATTATAGAGATAGAGAATAGAATCCAGAGTAAGAAAGTGACGAGCTCGATAAAGAGAAGCGACTTTAGCAGATGCTAATTTTGCAACGGATTTGATATAAGGTTTCCAAGAAAGATCAGAAGTAAGAGTTAATCCTAGAAGATGAAGGGTAGGAGGCTCATCGAGTACATTACCGTTCATAAATATAGGAAGGTCTAAATTATTGTGATAACAATTGACTGAAAAAAATTGATTTTTATCTGAATTAAAGTTCACCAGCCACTGTGAGCCCCATGCTGTAGCAGAAGATTGATCCAAGCAATCATAGGGATCGCTTGCAGGAGGCATCTGAGCTTGAAAAGGATCTCACTTCTGCTACAGCATGGGGCTCACAGTGGGGCTCACAGCTCACAATCAAAGAACAATGCCACCTTAGATGTGAGTTAATCAAGAAGATCGTTAATGTTAAGGAGTAGATCGTTAATGTTAAGGGGAAGATCGTTAATGTTAAGGGATAAACAGATTCTATCTGTTGACCTGCCTCGCACCCTTTCCTCATCTATTAGGCTGGCGCAGATGTAGATTTTAATACATTGTTTCAAGTTTAGGATGTAGAACGCTGGATCTTCTTGACTCGATTCATGTGTTTTGCTTGTGTCTCTGTTTTTATGACTAAGCAACTCATTCTATTATCTCCAAATGAAGGTACAGCTCTAAAACTCAGTTTTATGGTTCTGAGGCCAGCTGGTAGTTAGGTTTCCCGAACTCTGTGGTAGCTCTCAGAGAGGCTGATTCCATCAACAGCTGAAAAATATCAGAGTACTAACAGTGCCATGTTGCACTGAGTACTATCTATGAATCGAGTCAAGTTCTTTAAAATATTTAAAAATGAATAAAGTAACAAAAACAATAAAACACAAAAAACCGCAGTCATTATCAAGTTCGCTAAACCTATCATTCACCAATATTCGTGGTCTTCGAAGTAACTTTTGTTGAGTCTTATCTCTTGCAAAATTCGTGGTCTTCGAAGTAACTTCTGTTAAGTCTTATCTCTTGCAAAGTTTACCAGACCTACTTGCTTTTTGTGAGACTAATTTTAGTTCAGCTGTCTTATCTTGTGATCTTAGTGTTGATGGTAATTTTCCTTTAATTCGTAAAGAATCAAATAGTCATATGCTTGGCCTAGGCATTTACTTTCGTAAG